AATTGCTTAATTTAAATTTTACAAAATAATTTGATATTTATAACAAAAATAAATCAAATTAAACAAAATTATAATTTTTTTAAGGTTTTAAAAGTTTTTTTTTTTAGAAGATGTTGAGAAAATTTTAGAATTATATTTTGGAAAAAGAACCTTCTAGTATTTATGTGTTGAAAATGGAGTGTGAAATAATAATAGAGAAGATAATGAATAAACAATTTTTAGTCTAAAGAAAATTCAATGATTAACATATCTATTAAATAGTGTTTTTATTTTTTTTTGTTTTTAGAAATGTTGAAATGAACTGCAAAAAGAAAATATCAATTTGAGAGATGTCTGGGGAGATAGATCAGAAGAACCCAGTTAATGTTTGATTCATTTTTTTAAAGAAAAATAATACTTTTAATAAATAAAAAATTTATGAACTAGGGAATCAAAAGTGGTGTAAAGAAAGTTTGATACTTATAAAAGAAGGTTTTTGTAAAATTTATTTAAGAAAGTCAACTCACAAGAGTAGAATTTATGTACCCGTCCAAAGTCGTTAATGCAATCAGGGGTTTATCCAATATCATCTGTTTCATTAACAAAGAAAAAAATTGGGAAAATTAACAAAATTGGTTCAGGCTTTTTTCATCATAATTCAAGTTCAGATATACTTTGTTCTAAAGTTGAAACAAATATACAGTCTTTAATTAAAAGAAGTCTTCAAAGTTATCAAGAAAATGAAAAAACATTCAAAGATATTCCTGTTGTTGTTCACCAACTTATGGTTTTCATTTATCACCAATCTACTAATAAATTAAATTATCTTACAGAAAGAAAATTAGGTGAATTTCCATTACATTGGGATGGATTTAATAAAAAAGATGTAGAAATTGTTAAAAGCTATTCGTTATTAAAATGTAGAAACAAAACTATTAAAGAGTTGATTCAATTAGGATTTACTGAACAAGATTCTTTGACAATAAAAGAAGAATGTAAGAGTGTTGGAGATAATTATTTTACATTATTAAATACAAATGGAAATATTTCAAATGAAGACTTTGTTCGTCTTATTTCAACTAGTCAGAAATATTCATTAGGAGAATTACCAGTATTAGTTAGAGATAAAGATACACACTTTGCTTTTGTGTTACTTAAATACTTCTTTTTATGTCTTCCTAAACCAATGATTAATGATAGTGTATTAAAAGTTTTTGAAATGGGATTATCAATGAAGAATAAATTAGGTATTGAAAGGGTAAGGAATTATTTAATGGGAGAGATAGAAAATATTATGTTAAGTATGAATGAAGATTCTCCATGTGCATTTTTATTATTTAAAGAAATGATTTTATTTATGAGAGCATTTGTTGAACAAAATGGATTAAATGGACAAGAGAAAGAAGAATTATATCTTTGTTATTTTAATGCAATGTTACAAAATAATTCTTTTAAAAAAGAATTTCTTCCTTTAGTTGATTTAATGTTTTTTGAACAAAGATATAATAGAGATATTAATGAACTATTTCCTTATGAGAAGGAAGTTGTAATTAAAAAATATGAATTTGCGTTTTGTCCATTATTTTGTGTTGGATTAACAGAAGAATTTGATACTAATGATGCAGTTCCAGGATCAGTTTATTTTACATCACATAGAATTATATTTATGCCAGATTCTCAATTAAACCAAAGAGAATTAAATGTTTTAAAATATTTAGGATGTAGTTCTATTTGTAATATTCTTGGAGTTCAAGTTAGTCAAAATGAACATTCTCATTGTTTACGTATTATTTGTAAAGACTTAAGAGTTTTATCTTTTAGAATTGTTGGACCTATTCAACCATATGAAGAAATGATTCAAAATATTATTCAACATTATAGATATCCAACTGAAACAGAATATTTATATTGTACATCAACAATTAATAATGTTATTATTAATGAAGTAAAAAGAATGGGAATAGAAGGACATATTGAATCAATTAATATGATGAGTGTTAATGTTCCAATCTGTCAAGAAGTATATCATATTAATGAAAAAGATTTAAAGGCTGTTATTTGTTATCAACATAGTAATGGAAGTCAATTAATAAGATTTCCATTATTAAAGAATGTATATGCAGATACTGTATTATCAAGTTCTACAATTAAAATGAAAGAGGGATATCAATTTACTATTTCTAAATATGACATTATTGGAGAACATGAAATTAGTGAAATGGTAAATAAAATTCAAGAATTACTTCCAACTGTTAATACAAAAAATAATCAAAATATATCATATTTATTTGAAGCTTCAAACAGAATTAGTGATGAAATAAGAACTACATTAGATTATACTTTTAGATTAGTTAAACAAATTACTACAAAACAAATTCACTTAATTCTTATTTCAAATAAAAATTGTGAAAAAGGGTTATGTGTTTTGAGTGGATTAATTCAGTTAGTAGTTGATCCACATTATCGTACTATTAATGGGTTTATGGAATTAATACAAAAAGATTTCATTTCATTTTGTTTCTTTGAAAACGATGGATATGAATATTCAAATTATTTTATATTATTCTTACTTTGTATAAACTTTTTATATAGACAAAATAATTATGCTTTTGAGTTTGATGAACGTTTAATTCAATTAACATTCCATTCTATATTCTCTCACAGATTCTATGAATTTAATCATAGTCAAGTTAATTCAAAGAGTTCCTTTATTTCATTAGTTCAATATTATTCATCAGAATTTGTTAATCCATTATATCAACGCTCTAATGAATTATTAAAGAATGAACTTATTGAAGGAGATTATTGTGCATTAATTTATAAATGGTTAAATTATAGTAAAAAATGTACTAAAGTCTTTACAAGTGATATTTTATCAACAAAAAATATTGGACTTGGAATTTATTCATTCCCACCAATAGATATTTGTATTTCTTCATTTTCTACATTAAGAATATTAGATCTTAGTAGCAATCGTCTTAAAGATTTCCCTGTTGAATTACTTCAATTACCACAATTGATTGAATTAAATTTAAATGATAATGATATATTTTATATTACTCCTAGAATTTCTCAATTATCAAATTTAACTTCATTAAGTTTAGGGAATAATTGTTTAGTTAATTTACCTGAATTAAGTAATATTCCATTAAGAAAATTAGATCTTTCATCAAATGATTTTCCAAGAAATTTTCAATTTGAACTTGGAAATGATTTAGAATATTTTAATGGAAGTGAATTTCTTTCATATCCAACAATTCTTGGTTCATTACCTAATATTACTTCATTAAATTTTTCACATGTTAGATTTGATATACTCGATATTATTAATAATCCACCTCGTTCATTACAAGAATTGAAATTATCAGGATGTAGACTACCAATTATACCTGAAGAAATTACTAGACTAGCATTAACTGGATTAGATGTATCAGACAATTATATTAGTAAAATGAATTATTCATTTTTTAGTATGTCTTCTTTAAGAGTATTAAATATTTCATCAAATCATGTTAATGGAACAAATGCATTGTTTAAAACTATGAAACAATTGAAGGTTATTGCTAATAACGTTATTCCAAGAAAAACAAAATTATCTTTAATTTCAATTCCTTCACTTAAAACAATGAAACAAATGTGTAATGATGGTATTAGATTAATGGAATTAGAGTGTATTATTATCACTGGTAGTTTATTAAGAAAGGAAATATTTACTATATTACAAAAGAAATTTATAGAAGAAGGAAGTATTCAAATGAATGAAGAACATTCTCTAACATTTGAATTTATTGATAAAAAGAAAAAAGAAAAGAAAAGTTTAGTTATTATTGAAATGTCAATAGAACAATTACTTAATGACATATGGAGATTAAGAAGAAGTTTATTTATTGTTTGTAAACAAAACAAAGAAAGTTCTGAAGAAGAAGTTGTTTTAGAGTTATTAAAAATGATGGAGATTCATGGATATATTCATATTATTTGTAATGAAGAAATAAATGTAAAAGAATATATAAACGTTGATAACAATATGATGGATATTGAATATTATTGTTATATGGATAATAAAAAGAAGAAAACAATTACATGTTTATGGAATAAATTATTTAAACAAATAAACAAATTGGTTATTGAAGGAGATGAAAATTGTTTTAATTTATTAAATGAATTAAGTGGGTTGAGAATACCAGGATTTTGTCTTACAATAGGTAAAATTAAAGAAATTATTCAATGTCTTGGAATGAAAGAATGGCAAAAAGTATTAAATTGGCTTACTAGGAATGGATATTTATTAACTGATAATGATTTTAGAGATAAAAATCAGTTAGTTGAATTTAAGGATGACCAACAAGTTTTAGTTGATTGGGATCTATTTCCTTTAACTTCTAAGACTATACAAAAGAATTGTGATAAAAATGGATTTTTATGTGTTAATATATTTGAATTACTTGGAATTAAAAATGACACTATTAAATTTATCTTAAGACTTCTTGAGAAAAATGGATTTTTAATACAAATTACAAAAGATATTGTTAAACCATTCCGTTGTCAGAAACAATTTGAAAATGTTTTTAAATATTGTTCTGAACAATCTTCTCAGTTAAAAAAATATAGTCAAACAACAAGTAGTTCATCTGCATTATCTTCTAATGGAAGTTGGAGTTCTATTCCTATTATTGTTACTGAAAAAATAGAATTAAGTAATGTTATATTATATACTTTTCATGATTATAAAGATAGTTTTAATAAAGACATTTGGCCAGAACAACATTTAAGAAATGAAATAGAAATTGGTAGAGTTATAAAAATGAAAGTAATTAATTATAAAGCAATCAATTTAATTATTTCAATTCTTATGTTAAAATATACTGTTCATTCATATTGGAAAAATGGTGCTATTGTTATTGTACAAAAAGATAGAAATTTAGGAAAATTATATGTTCTTATAGAAGGAAAAAGATTATCAAAAACAATTGAAATAAGAATTAGAGGATTAATTAATGATGTAGAAATACCATTTTTAATGGTAAATACTATTAATACTATTTTTAATGAAATTAAAATTATTTGTCAACAAACTAATTGTAAAATAGAAAGGATTGACGCTTTATGTAATGAATGTTTATCTAAAGGAATTAAAACAGTTATTCCAAATGAAATTATTAAACAAAATATTAATTCTTTTATATATAATTTTAAATGGAAAGAACATGAAATTAATTCTGTTGCATGTTTATTAGATTTTATAATAGACAGTTTTCCAAAACATTGTATTGATTCATTAGATCAATATAATTTTATTAATGACATTGGTACTGGATCTAACTCTACTATTTCATTGTTTGAAAGAAAAGGTAACAAAGAACTTATGGTACTTAAATTAGGAAATATTGATTTTAGTGTTACTGGAATTAATAAAGAAACAACAGCCATTCAATTATTTACCTCTATATTAGAAGAATTTTTACGTGAAATTAACTTCATTAACTTCCCTTCTCATCAATCAATTGCTAAAATTTATGGATACTCTCTTTATCCATTATTTGTTACAATAGAATATTTTAATGGAGGCAGTTTGTACAGTCTTATTAATCAAAACCATTATGAATTTTCATTACATGAAAAAATTCAAATCGCAAAACAAATAGCAGAAGGAATTAACTTTCTTCATACTTATAAAATCCCTCTTATTCATTGTGATATTAAATCACCAAATGTACTTATTAAATTAGATAACAATAAATCATTTGTTAGCTGTGCTATAAGTGACTTTGGTGAAACAGTACCAGCGTATGCTTCAACTTCATCAAAAGTAGAATGTCCATATTGGCTTGCCCCAGAAGTTATTAGTGGAAATGCCTTCACTCAAAAAAGTGATGTCTATTCTTATGCTATTGTCCTTTGGGAACTTAGCACTAACAAGACACCATTCTCAGAATTTAAATTCTTTAGTGAAATTAGAGAAAAAGTGTTAATGGGATACAGACCAACTTTAAATGAAAAAATGACAATTTTTAATTCTCTCATTACACATTGTTGGAATGCAGACCAAACACTAAGACCAACAATGAAAGAAGTACTTGTTCAATTAGAGTCTATAACAGAATAAATCATGTCTTGTTTATTTGTTATGCTTTATTTTCACGATACAGAGAAATTTCAAAATCAATTCTTTTTTGTGGATAATATGGTGGTCTTCCATGAATAAATGGTACAACACAATCATAATTATCATACATTACTCCATAACTAAGATAATTATCATCTTTATGTTTAAACTGATGAGTGTTACAATAAACTGGACCTGATTCTACTTTACTAATTAGTTGTTTTAATAGTCCATTATGGTATGCATATTCTACTACTGCTTGGTCAGGACCAAATGTACTAATATCACATTTTTTATTTGTTTCTAATAAATTCCATATTATTTCCATATATTTTAACATTTGATAATATCCTCCTAATACAATTCCTGCATTAATAATCTCTTTTGTTGAATCTAAACCATCTAAATTCGGATAACATTCTTTATACCATTGTAAATTCTTTTGGTTATTCAAAAGCATAATTGAATTGCATCCTTCTTTAAACATAACAAGTTTACCATTTTCTGGAATATATTTAAATACATCACTTTGAAAATAAACATCCGAGACATCACAATGAATCACTCGATTGAATGTATGATTTTTAAGATACTCATAATATAGTTTTATTCGATAATTTGCAATATGAATTTTTGGTTTATCAAATTTTTCAATATTAATCCTTAATTTTTCTTTCATTTTATTAAAGAATTTGGTATTGTTTGTATATAAACTATGTTCAACAAATAAAACAATAGTGCTGTAGTACGTCTCTCGCCTCATATATGATATTGGTACTATTATACTGTCTAAATCAACACGACCTTCATCTGCAATAGATAATAAAATAACATCATTCTCACGTGCCATCCCTGTTTTTTCTTGTAAACATTCATGACGAGTATCGACAACAATAGTTTCTCTTCCTAATAACAACACAAACATAAAGCATACGACAAAAAAAAGTATAACCCATTTACACATGTGGTTAGTGACTTTATTTCTCATTTTTTTTCATTACAAGTTTTTTGTTTTT